TATTTGGAAGATTCAGTTCAGTAAGCAAATTCCAAAGCCAGATCCTGGTTAGTTTGTTAAGCTGGTCGGGATCCGGCTCGGGCGGGATCCGTCCCCGTCGGGTCGGGTCGTGACACACCTGCTCCCGATACCCCTCTCATATACAAACAAACCGTCAAACACAATCACTGGCAACATGCAATGCTAGATGAATTTACTGGGTTACAGAAACTTGGCACCTGGACTCTTGTGCCCGCACAACCAAACAAACCGACACTCGGATGCAAGTGGACATATAAGACAAAGCTTCTACCAAACGGACAGATTGCCCGACACAAAGCCAGACTGGTAGCACTCGGATATAATCAACGCTACGACATCAATTACACAGAAACGTTTAGTCCAGTTGCCAAAATGATCATAATCCGTCTGCTTCTCACACTTGCTGTAAACCGGCAATGGCCAGTTCTTCAACTAGATGTCTCAAGCGCTTTTTTACATGGCGATCTTCCGGACGAAATTTACATGCAGCAACCGCCGGGTTTCATCGATCAGCATCATCCAAATTGGGTTTGCAAACAGCACAAGTCTTTATATGGGCTCAAACAAGCCCCACGCCAATGGTTCCACAAGCTCACAACTTTTCTTCAAACGCAAGGATTTGGGTTTAGTCGTTCTGATCCATCTTTATTAATTTTTCATCGCAACACTTCTACCATTTTCATTTTAATCTATGTTGATGATATTTGGTGACAGGTAACGACCAAGCAGCTATCCAGCAACTTCTTCACCAACTACAACGTCATTTTTCTCTCAAGCAATTAGGAGAAATCTCTCTCTTCCTTGGCATACAAGTCATTCGCACCCCCTTCGGCTATTTTCTTACCCAACAGCGTTACGCCTCCAAACTAATTCAAGATGCAGGATTTCAAGATTACAAGACAGCTTCGATGCCGGCATCCCCATCCTCAAAGAAAATTCAAATCGATTGCAAACCGTTTCACGATCCAACTCTATACCGCCGCTTAGCCGGCGCACTTCAGTACCTTTCTATTACACGACCCGATATAGCGTTTGCAACTAACACAGTCTGTCAACATATGCAAGATCCTTCCACTCAGGACTTTCAGGATCTCAAACGCATTCTCCGGTATATTAAAGGAACAATTACATTCGGTCTTCCCATCCAGCGAGGATCGCTTGAACTTCACTCCTACACCGATGCGGACTAGGCATCGGACTCCACTGATCAGAAATCTATCTCCGGATCATGCACCTTTCTCGGACCGACACTTGTCTCGTGGTCAGTCAAAAAGCAAGTTATAGTTGCAAAATCCTCCACAGAGGCAGAATATAGATCGCTATCAGCAACCACCTCCGAAGTGGTCTGGCTTCGTCGACTTGCACTTGAGCTACTTCTTCCGCAAAAGGCTCCAACGACTATACATTGCGACAATACGTCGGCAATGGCTCTAGCCAAGAATCCGGTCTTCCACGCCCGCACAAAACATATTGAGATAGACTATCATTTCATTCGGGAACACATCAGCTCCAGAAACATTCAGCTCACACATATTCCTTCCAAAGATCAGATTACGGATATCTTGATGAAATCATTCGCCACCGCTCGCTTCAACGAATTACGCAGCAAACTAACCATTCGCTCCTCGAATGATTAGTTTGAGGGCAGATATTAGAATATAAACATCTCTGTCTTTAGTTATTTACCTTATTTTTCCATTGTAGTCATCTATATATAACTTGTAACTCCTGTATACTTATTTCATTCAATACATTTTTCTCTCCTTTACGTTTAGCTTCTTGTTCTCTGTTCCTCTCTTCGCTTCCTCTCTTCTCCGCCCGTGACTTCGTCAATTAGAACGTGTCATGTCATCCGGTATCGGGCGGTACCAAGCATCGGTACATAGCCAAAAAGTAACGTGGCTCGTTCTAGTTGGTCTTCAAACGCCGCCCAGTGTCTGCACAGAATAATTTTGGCATAATATATATTTCTCTAGTGTATGTAAGAATTGGTTTCAATTAGTAGAGGGGATTCCTCCCAACTTTAAAGAAAACAATGCTCCCCTCTTTAAATGAACAAGAGGAGGTGCCTTACATTAATATTTCTTGAAAGTAAAAATAATTTTTGAAATAGTTCAACATTAATTTATAATAAATATAAAAGAGCACAGATATTTTTAAATTGAATAAAGGTTGAAATTTAGGCTTCATTTGAGATAACTTTTTTAATATTTTTTAAAGTTGATTTTTTAGTATAAAATTTTCTAACTTAAGAAAATTTTATACTAAAAATAAAAAAGAAAATTGTCCCAAACAAAATCTTATTCTCCATAATAAATATGTTACAAATAATGATATAGATATTATCCTACTTTCAACTACTAAGGGGCTAAAAACACAACTAGTCAAATTTTATTTAAATAGAATTGGAATTAATGGCTTGCATGTTTATATTAATACATTTTAAACCACTTATATGAGACTAAAGCTTCATTTGAGACGGCTTTCTTACTGCTTCTTAAAGCAGCTTTTTGATACAAAAATTAAAATTTTTATACTAAAAAATTGCTTTAAGAAGCAATAAAAAGCCATCTCAAACGAAACCTAAGACTTCGACTTCGTTTGGGATACGCTCTTGCAGCTTTTTAAAGCAGCTTTCTAGATCAATAATTAAAATTTTTATACTAGAAAGTTGCTTTAAGAAGCAATAAGAAAGTCGTCCCAAACAAATCCTTCATTTAAGACAACATTTTTCCTGCTTTCTAAAACAACTTTTTTAATACAGATTTTTTTCAACTCAAATTTTTTGTACTAGAAAATTGCTTTAGAAAGCAATAAAAAAATTATCCCAAAGGAAACCTAAACCACTCTCACATATTGTTAATTATTATTATTATTTCAGAAACAAATCAAAATTTTATCAGAATTTTAGAGCCTAAACTATAGCTATTAATTCAGGAACCACAAGTAAATTATTAGAATTTCATTTAATTTCCATCACTTCAATCAGAACAAAGCCTCAGCTGTTCTAAGTAGCATGATTCACTACAACTAAAATAGTAAGCAATTCACAATCAAGAGGGCAGGAAGTGATTCCAAAGCCACAAGAGCTTACATGTTGAATGCTGAAAACAAAAGAGAATCTGTAAATTGAAAAAAAAAAAAAAAATTGTTCTATAAAATCAATCTAAGAGATTATAACATTGCCAGGAAGTAAGATCATACGCATAGCTTGCACATAGCGAGATTGGCTTAGCCATATCCCTGAAAGAATCATCCTCAACTCTTTTGGAAAGTCACCTTGTGAAGGCAGTCTTAGTTTTTTCCAGCTCTATTTTCGCCATGAACTAGAACTGAGCTCGATCGTCACCGTTGAAGTTGAGAGATTCCATGCCTTTGATGGTAGACTCGTAGGTCTTCAAATTTGCTGAATGTCTTGCCGAGGAAGATGACTTCTGCTTCTGCTCAGCTGAACCAAACGGGGGACTTTTTTGAGTACTTGAGAATTTGCCTGAAGGACTTGCGTCAGTAGTGCGACTGTTAGAGACGGCAGCGCGCCTTGAGGATCCACTTGATCGTCCCCAGAAGGTTGAACTAGATATCTACATGACAAGTGCAGTTCAAAGCAATGTTTAAAATTGCGTATTCGGGTATTGAGACGTTTTTCATTCGTGAGGCGAGGCGTAAGCCTCAAGCCATTTTGAGGCGTAAGCCACAAAATCAAAAGATTGCGTAAACATAAAATGATAATTTTTTTATATACTAATGAGTGAATAATATAAAATATTAAAAAAATATAAGATATGAAGTGAAATCACAATATCCCAATAATAAGACAACATGAAATATAGTTCAACTCAAAATTATATATTTCCCAAATCCCAGTATTCTTTTCATTAACATATAATTCTAATTTCCAAAAACAAATAGCAATGACATATCACACAAGAACTCATAAGTCATCAACACTATCATCACTAAGGGGTTCTTTATTTGAATCATCATTATGATGAACTGCTCTCTCCCCTTTCTCCTCTCCTATAAAGTTCAATGTCGGGCATTTACTTCAAGATTTATGTAAGTTTTAATATATATAGCGTGAAGCGTAAACCTCATGCCAGTGAGGCAAGGCGGGCCTCAACCAAATTGAGGCGCAAGCCTCATAAAAAAAAACTCGAGGCATTTTTTACTGGAATTGCGCAAAGGCGGGCCTCAAGGCGAGCCTCATATTGCGCAATTTTAAACCATGGTTCAAAGTCAAAGGAAAAGGAAATTTTGATGTTCACAAAACGTCTGGAGTAGCTCCAGTAGAAGATAATATTAGAGAGAGTCGTCTTAGATGATTTGGTCGTATAAAACGGCGGCCTTCCGATGACCCGGTTAGAAAAGTAGAAGTATTAGATTTGACTTATGTTAAGAAGGGTAGAGGCAGACCTAAAAAAACTTGGTTAGAAAATATTAGGAATAATCTTTCTTTATTAGATTTAAATGATAACTTAACTTTTAATATGACACAATGGATAAAAAAGATTCATATAGCCAACCCCACATAGTGGGATAAAAGCTTGATGTTGTTGTTGTACAGAATGTCTAGATTGAGATTTGTCTTTTAAAGAGAAATCATTGCTCAAGCACACACTTGAAGTGCCTTTTTAGACATAAGAGACCTAAAAGGTATTTAATATTAACGGGTTATTTTAGTTATACATGTTTAGATATTAGAGTTCAAAAGAGATTTGATATTTATGGCTTATTAAGGGTATTTTATAATTTTATTGTATTTTCTGCTGCTCTGAATTTTTTTTGTATAAAAGAAGGGGGATGTGTCATCTTATGTTCTATAATAGAATTGCACATAGCAACTGTCCAAAATTCTAGTAATTATGTGAAAAAATAAAAATCTTACCATAGCTTCTTTGGTTCCACTGGATTCATTTTGTACAGGGCTCTTCTGCTTAGATCCTGATGCTCTTCTCCAAGAAGAGTCCACACCTGACCAACCACTTGTCCTGCCTTCTTCACCGCCTGCATCATAATATAGGCAGACAAGCTAGTAAATTCTCCAAAAATATAACAAACAAAATTCAAATTAATCCAAGTAAAAGAAGTATTATTTTTTGCCATAGTAATTTGATGAAGAAAGCACAAAAACTAGGACGAAGGCTTCATTTGGGACGGATTTTTTACTGCTTCTTAACGCAGCTTTAAAATTTTTGTACAAAAAAACTGCTTTAAGAAGTAGTAAGAAAGCCGTCCCAAACGAAACCTAAATCTATATTCTAAATACAGGCAGGGGTCTCACTTTCAATTTTCAAATGAACAGAGCAAAAAAGCTGCTAGTTAAAGAGCAGTATACAATGATCTTACCTATCTGCTTACCAGTATTGCCAATAGCTGGAGGCAATCCCGAAATAAGCTCAGCACCTGGTGGTACCTGGATAGGAATGAAAACTAAGTCATTCTAACCAAAAATATAAAACTAAAAAAATGGTTTCTCCCTTGCAACGTACTAGAGGTCTAGGAGGAGCACTGGAAGTTTCCAACGCTTTATATTTCAAGATTGTCCAATCAAATATATAATCAAACTGAAAACCTGGAATAAATGTACAAAATTTACCATAAGATAGCTTATTCCCATATAGAAAATTTCTATATTCTAAATTTCAACAAAAATATTGGAGTACTTCATCCATACCTTCACTGATGAAGAGGTCCCGAAATATTCTTTTGAGATAAGAATAATCGGGCTTGTCTTCAAAGCGCAATGATCGACAGTAGTGGAAGTATGATGCAAATTCTGAAGGATATCCCCGACATAAAGCCTGAAAAAAAAAAAAAAATTCTCATCATACCAGGAAAAATAGAATTTGTTCAACTATTTTTCCCATTAAAAAACTTGCCTCGATTGATGTTGAAACTTTTTTTTCACATATTTTGTCATACTTCTGTTTCTTTGTTCCTGCTTTTAAACCTTGCCATGGAAGACTAAATACAAAAGAGTGTCAAGCATCTACAAAAGGAAAATAGAGATAACAGACTCCAAAAATAAGTGCCGCACCTTCCCCTCAAAAAGTACATAAGAACATATCCAAGAGATTCCAAATCATCCCTCCTGCTTTGTTCTGGTGAGTGTACCAAATCAAACCAAGAATCAATGAACGAAACACAGAAAAGAGAGACAATTAAAGGAACAAGCTCTACTTCGGCAGCAAAGCAGTGAAGTAGTCCTAATGAGCATCAAAGGAAACAGCAAATAAAATTCACTAAAGAATACCTATGCCAAGATGAGTGTTCATACTCGCATATCTTGCCGTTCCTGTCAAGTTCTTATTCTCTCTGCAATTTATAAGAGAATGAAAATATGATAGCATAAGTGCTAATATCAGTTCATTTTGAAAAAAAAAATTTTTTTTTTGAGAAACAAGTAAAAGACTTTTATATAAGCATTTGGCAAGTTAAAAAAGGATGGACTGCGTAGGCCCCTAAGGCACAAAAGGTGCTACATGTTGATCGACACTTTTAAAAAACCACAGTTAGGTCTCCTGCATATAAAACAAGTCTCACGAAGACCAATCTTTGACAGTCATGAATAGAGAACAATATATCAAGAATGTACTTTTCCTCTGTCCTAACTCATATCTCCTCTCTCTTAAGTTGTCCTTAGGAGCTCATGAAAGAGCCAATCTAATCGTTGGAAAAGCATGAATTTGAGTCAGATTGTGCCGGTTCACATATTACAGAAGATAAGAGAAGAACCAATTGTGCAAATTCGAAGATATCTGTATCTCACAATCATGAAACTTCCACGGGAATTAGCACTCCTAGAGGGCCTCTGGCTCATTGATGTCAACACACTCTAGTCATCTCCTTTCCTTTCCTTTTGATTCCAATGATCTCCTGCAACTCTAACACCACTCCGCTACAATCTCCTCCATTTTTGCCTCCATGATTCAATGTTTCTCCTCATTCTTATCAGTAGTAGCAACAAGGGTGATCTCTCCATGAATCACAATGACAGAGAAGTTGGAAGGCTACTGGTAAAGCAAAATCTGCCAAAATATGGCAAAATACTTTTCCCATGAAAAAAAAGTCGGGGTACTTGTGCCGTAAAATGACTTTGAAACTTCAGCCGTATGGTGCATCATGTGAGCTAACTAACAGATTAGCCGGTGAAAAAGGCAAATAGGAAGATTGGAACATCATTTTTGGGGCCAATCTGAAACCTCAAAAAAGTGCTAGCGAGCAAAATGTGTGTCATGAGACCTACGTGAACCAACATGAAGCCCATGGCACCCTATACTTGAAAGTAAAACATAAGAAAAGGAAATCCCTAAGCAGAACATGAATAGCGCTAATTCTCAAAAGTGCCAATAGCCTCAAATCCTCAAAAGGATCATAAACTCAAAACTAGGAAAAAAGTTATTTCATTAATATAAATAATCTTTCAGATAAAAATCAAGCCATGAAATTACTAGTCACAAAAACCAGCGAACTCAAAATGTAAATCACAGTCCAATAAACTGTGCTATTTACATACCTAACACCTAACTCCTCTTATTGGGATGTATGTAAATGCCCCCCAATATTATATGATAGTGCAAGCATGTGTAAAATTGCATTTAGAATAACAATGTGAATAACAATGATAATGACAATGGTGATGAAAAAAACAATAATAATGACAATCATGATAATGATCATAAATGATGATGATGATGATGATGATGGGTACGTAAAAACACAAAAAAAAAGCATGTGATAAATCTTCAAAAATATCCATCATGATAACATCCAAGGAAAGACAAAGACATCAACATCATAGAATGATGAGCAAGCTATCTCAATATCTCAAAAAGTAAAAGTATAAAGTCAAGGTTTTGGTCCCCCATAGCAAAACTAAGCATTAAAAAAAAAAAGCGTGAGCATTGTGAATTCTTATTAGCATTATCTTCATTTGTTATTTTATTTTCTATAAAATAATTTAAGATGAAAGACAACTTTAATATTAAACAAACACAACAAAATTAAATATAAGTGAGAGTATTGATTTTAAACCAAACAATGCCCATTCATTGACTTAAACTTTTAAGTTGAAAACTAAAAACAGGCTTAATAACTGATGTATCATGCTTGACTCAATTTTACTTTACACTTCTCAATAAGTGATGTTAAAGCTGATGATTCATCTAGGATCAATCAATTCATACAGCTTGTGTATCCCATAAGTTCTGGCCGACTTCTAGCATGTTTGGGTAAGGTTAAACAAAGAGTGACTAACACGAATTCTCCGTATGGTTGAGTTGACTCATGGTACAAGATTTGATGATGATGAAAAAAAAATCTGTTTCAGGTGAGGTGCTGGGCAATATGAATTGCTCTCACATAAAGGGAAGATAGTTAAAAGATATGAGAGCATTTCATTTTGCTCCATAATGGACAGGTAAAACATTGGTTGGCGTAGAAATATTAAGCATTTGACCATTGCCTAAAGTTTAAGCTTTTCGGTTAAAAACATGTTTGAACAGTGGTGTTTTGAGCCCAACATTAATTCCCTTTTGTTCTCACTTCTACCGTCACATGCATTGCATATAGGAAAAGAGATATACTATATTATATATATATATTATAATATTATATATTATATTAATATATATTATAATATACTATAAAGAGAGAGAGAGACCCGAGAGAGAGATGAAGGGAATGATGAGAGAGAGGAGAAATTAAATAGATATAGGGGAGCCAATTTATTCCAAAATGGCATAAGACAAAACATCAAACTAAAAGTACATGGTGCCATCAAGGCAATGTAGTTGTTGCTTGATATTCTAGGTGCTCACCTGATCGAAGTGGGGAGTTATAAAATAAATAGTTGCATCATTTAGAAAAACATATTTAAATAATAAAAAATAATTTTGAAGGGCATAAATTGATTATCATTATATTGAACAACGTTGGAAAATAAAGAATTCTTTAGTTATATTACATTCCAAATTAGAAAATCTTGCTAAATAGAGTACCTTAAATAACTATGATAAACTATTAAGACCACGAGGGACCGTTCAAGCCGGTCGTTACGGGACTAGCGATCATGTATAGCAAGCAAAAGTTCCACCTGCAATAATACCGCCCCCTTGGCGTGGGGCCTAGGGAACATTTTCAAAAGAGAGATAGGGCGAAATTAGGAGAGAAAATTAATATGAAGGGTTGTTTGGGAATTACATTATTTTGGGTGTATTTTAAGTAGTTTTTACATAGGGTTTAGTTTTCTAGCATGTTATGTTTGCTGAATTTAGGTTGTTAGGTTGAGTGTGCTCTAGCCGGTGGCTAGGGATTTGGGAGAGCCGGATCTTCCTCTCCAATGAAGATCCAATTGTATCTTGTCTTTCTTTCATAGATACTTTAATAAAAAGGGTTCATTTTCATTAATCTCTAAATTTTCTCTTGTTATTTGCTTGGTGGCTTTGCTGAAATTCAATTTCAGCCAATGGTTAATGGTTTTCTACAAGCACTTCCTAACAAAGAGCGGTGTCCATTACTGAAATATAGGATGTACTTGCTGATTTTTGCTGCATTTTCCCCTTCGTTTTGCTGATTTCTACTGTTTGAAGGCCAAGATCAAGGTACCTATGGCGGCCAAGAAAGTTGATGCCTTGGAAGAACATCTTGGAGAAGAGATGAGCCAAATCAAAGCAACGGTTGAGGATAGAATTTCATTAATGGAGGATAAGTTCTCGAACCTAGAAGAGATGATGAAGGTGTTGGATCTTCACAACCAAACGATAGCATAAGAGGGAAGAGTACCAATAAGACAAAATACAAATTCTGCCAGCCGTGAAGAGGTCTCCTTGAAAAATGGTTCAGTGCTCTCACTGGCGAACCAAACATCGTAATAGAGATGCAGATTGTGTCCATACCGATGACACAAACCAATCTATAGGGTTGAGACACAAGGAATAACATAAGTTACTGATTAGACAGTTACTTGCAAAAGGCACTAATCTTATTCAAGTTTATTCATGTTGAAATAATTCCAACAAATTATGCCAGATGGCAATGAATAGGTTCAAAAGCCAAAATGATACCTATGCGGTTTATATCACCAAGTCATTGCAAGAATATCCTATACTCACAAAATGCATTCAGACAATACTGATAAAAGAAAAATAGAAACAAATCATGACCATTAAAACAAAACTAGAAAGACAAAATATCGAAGGAACAGAATGATAGAGGGCAAAGAACTATAACAAAATCTTTGAACATAAAATATTATAAATAAAATATAACAGATGATAATCAAACAAAATAAACAATCATAGAAGGGTAAACAATATAGACTTTAAGATTTTAATTTAAAAGCATGTTTACCTGTATGGAATATGTTGGTGGGTTGAAGTATCCCTGTACTTCTTTGCAAGGCCAAAATCAATAACATAAACCTAGAAAGAAGACAACCATCAGAAACAAATTGAACTCCATAGCACATTCAATCTAAGCTAAAAACAATAGATCCATTTGGGATGGCTGTAACTTTTTATAAAGGTGATTGTAAAACTGTTGTGGAGAGAGCAGCATTTTTTAAAGCTACACTTCCTAACACATAAATTTATAGCAATGAAAAAGTAGTGGCAAAATAAAATGTGCTTATAATCTAAAAAGCAAAGAAAAAAGAAAGCTATCCCAAATGAAGCCTATAGTATTAGTTCAGTCAGAAGAACAACCTGATTTTCTCTCCTACCCAAGCCCATTAGAAAATTATCTGGCTTTATATCTCGATGCAGAAAAGATTTAGAATGAACAAATTCAACTCGATTAATCTGATAAAAGAAGAATAAGAGGAAAATATGTTAATAAATTTAAAAAAATAAAATAAATTGACATCAGATGTAGAGTTTGGGAGCTAAACCATCTGGTCTGCAAGCATCAGAACAGTTTTCAAAGTCAGCTTCCTGCTGCAGAAGTTAAAAAGATCTTCCAAACTTTTGCCCAACAAATCCATCACCAGAACATTATACTCACCTTCAACACCAAACCATCTCACATTGGGAATCCCAGCTGAAACATAATAAACCAAAATATATATCGTCAAGGTGCGGAAAAAAACTAAAAAGTCAAGACATTAAAATTAAATTAAATGCTCATAATTACTTCCTCCTTGCAAGATCCTGTACAACTTCGATTCATAGAGCAACTGAGGGTGTTTTGTTTTGACATTTTCCTGAGAATAGTCGCACATGTTTCATTAACCAAAACAAAAAAAAAGATGGAAGATACTAAACATATAATAAAAGATGGAATGTAATGAGATAAAGCAGTGAAACAACTTTGCATAAATGAAATTACATAAATGATATTCTTTTAACATTGATGACAACACCTAATATCATAACAATAATAGAATAGTAAAATATAATAAAGATGTTGCATATACCAACAGCCTGCAATAATATTCTAATAATTCAAAAAACTAATAGAGGGATGCATATAAAAGATATTTAAGAATGAATCGGAACTTAACTAAAGAAAATAGAAAATATTCAGCAAAATCTCTTAAAAATATGCATCAATAATTTACAAAAAGAACTATGTTCATATTCAGTAGCTTGTTAGGATAAAAAATTAACTCTAAAGATACCAAAGAACACAGAATAAATGGTTCTAGTATGCATAATATTAGTGAGCTTTAAGAAAAAAACATATAAGAAATAAATAAAAACTTTTCCTTAAACCTCTTAAGTAGTTGGGCAGACTAAAGCACCTTTGAGGACCCCTTATCAGGATTAATCCTGATTAAACCCCTTGCTACTTGTGTGTTGAAACTAAGCTTTATATTTTTTGGGGCGGTTGGGGCTTTGCTTTTGGAACTATTTTATATAACCCTGCTATCTACTTAATCATCTCTCGGGTTTTGGAAGGTGTTCCTCATATTCTTGCGTCATTTCTAAAGAAAAGGAATGGCTTCTCCCATCCTATTACTGCAAACAAAAAGATATTTAAGGTGATCACAAGTCGCAACAAAGATGGGATTGCTGACACATTCCAGTAAGTTATTAGTAAGAAGGGGAAGGGGTAGGGTTAGCCGGAGCAAGATTACTCATAACTGAACAACCTGAAAGTCAACTAAATTCCCAATAATTCATAATAGAACTTCAGGAAAAGTTCACGTCAACACAGCACCAGAAGCACAAACTCAGATTTCTTTCACTAACAACATATCAAACTCCGTGAATCTCTCTTAATTTCAGAAGAAAAAAAAAAGCCAAATCCTCAATATGCCCCATCAACAGTGCAACAAGATAAGTTCTTTTTTCTAGCATGAGGAGGCAAACTATTTAGCAGACTAAAAAATCTGACAAAATATTACAACTGAAAAGCACGCTGTGAGCCCATCATATCACCAAAAAAAAAAACAGTAGCCATTGAATAGAAATACTTACAAATTTAATCGCGACCTCTTCATTTGTTTGCACATTAGTACCTGTAGCCAGGAGCAGACAAAAAATTACGATCAAATCACCATAATGGGCAAGTCACCCTAAATAGCCTAAATAATATACCAAAAAAAAAAAAAAAAAAGCCAATGACTTGGATAACCTAAATAGATCTCCCCAAACGATCCGCTCCCAATTTTCCGGCCAACCCGGAACTTGTTCCCCACGCGGGTCTCCATGGTACGAACAGTTGACTCTGACACCAAATTAATGAAACCCCGGAACCCTAATGAGGCAAAAAAACAAATACGAAAGCTAACAAAACTGACGTTGCCTCCAATCTCTCAAGAGACCCAACCCAGAATAAATCGAGCGATAAATAAATTTGCAGCAGTAGATCAGATGTCCGCCCAATGCCCAGCAAAACGATCAATGGAAGAGAACTGAAGAGAGATCTCGAAATCTAGGGTTTAAAGCGAAAGAATGGAAATGAAAATAATCCCAATCTTTATGAATTAAGAGAACGGGGAAGGCAAAGGGAAGAAGAAGTGTTTATCTCCATTTCTTCTGATTCCTTCGGTTCTTCCCCCATGCACGCATCATTACCAATCGAAACAGTTGAATTCGGTAAAAAGAGTAGAGAAAGGGACCTCCTTCCCTTTCTTTTCTCTTTCTGCTGGTTTATCCTCGCTAAAACTCACTTAAAAAAAATAGTTCAAGTAAAATTGACTTCATATGCCTTATAATAAATTTAATTGATTAAATATTCTTGTTGTTATTTTAAACAAAATACATAAAAATTACTGTCAAATTAAAATACTCATATATAGAGAGTATTTTTAATAATAGAGATACTTGAACATTCCATTCTCCAGTATTTTCTACCTTTATGGTTTTAAAGCTCATTTGATTGGTCATGGCAAAGTTTTACATAGATAATTATATGTTCCAATTATCTTTTGTTCAAGGTCAATGATAAGGTGTCAATATTTGACCCGTCTCGAAATACGACCCGGACCCGTCCTAAATATTTTTTGGTTTAGGTCAACTTGTTTGCCAGATGAGTTAAGTTTGAGTTTTATTTTATAACCCATTTTTAAAAATAGAGTTGGGTTCAGGTAAACCCGAAAACTTGAAATCAACCGGACATGATTATGATCTAGCACTCTGGTGCTCCCAGCCGCACAGGCTACGCTCCCCCTCCAACACTCGCATCTATACTCGAACCCGCGCCCTTGCATGTGCTCGCGTCCACACCCGCTCCCGCCCTCACATTCGCATCTGCGAAGGCCGAGCTCGCCCTCCTGCGCTATTGTCCACACGGTTGCACTCGAACTCACTCGTCTTGCAAGCTATGTTCCAGGTTAGCGGGTCAAGTTTCGACCTAAATTGATTGCCCGTTTATAAAACTAGGTAGAGTTCAAGTCAGCTGAATTGGACAAGGGTCAATTTCGATCAATGATATCATACTTCTGGTAATTATGTTTGAATGCATTCATAAGTTATAGTAAGAAGCATATTAAAGGAGAAATCTATGCTTAAACAAGCAAGTTATGAACTCATAGTGAAAGAGTCAAATATTATGCAAACCCTATTTACACATTAAAATCAAACAATAAAACTTGTTGGATGATGTATTTTGATAATCCAAATTTTTGAAAATAATTGAAAATGAAAAAAAAAATCTTGAATTCCTGTTTGAATTGCATCGCAGCAAGGGAAAGGGAGAAAACTGATTTTTAGTGGTCGGATCACTTTGTCGCTTTTGTAAAAATTGCTCAGATCACTTTAGGTGATTATGATCCATCTCTATTTTCAAAAATTTTGATTTTAATTGTTTGATTCTCCTCATAATTGATTTTATTGCATTTTTTTTGTATTTTTTTGCAATTTAATCAAACAACTTTTTTGTATTTTATCGTGTTGATTATCCTAGACATTTTGATTGTAACATATATTGAATTTCACCAAGTAAAATGAAAGTTATTGTATTTTATGTTATTTCTACTGATTGAATAACTGATATTTTTATTATAAGCATAATGTTAATATAAACATTGAAAATGAATGTGGATACGTAGTTGACTAATAGTTAGTCGCTATTATTATTATAATACATTGATAATAATATGTGTGAGAATAAGGCTTCGTTTGGGACGGCTTTTTTATTGCTTTCTAAAACGGGGTTTTAGTACAATTTTTTTTTATTTTTGTACTAAAACTCCATTTAGAAAGCAATAAAAAAGCCGTCTCAAACGAAGCCTAAGTAAAATCTAGTTTCACTGATGTTGGTTGGAAATTGGCTGACCTCTATAGGATGGTGGGTCGACGGACGTTCTTTTAAATACTGTGATTTGGTGTTATGTTTTACTGATTCGCGTGGTACTGATTGAGAGTTATTAGAAGTTATTACTGTGTCGACGAGCAAAGAGTGACGACTCTATTTACTGAGCCAACTGGATACTTATACATATTACTACTTAATGAAAAAATATCATTTAAACTAGAAATTCTTTATTGTTTAGCGTAACTACTAAAATGTATGTTATTGATTCATTGTTATTATAATTGTACGATTTTACTAATTTACTGTTAATGTTTACTACTGATTTATTGTTGCTGTTAGATATATTGTTACTACATTTCTTTATTATTATTCCCACTAATTTTATTGATGAAGCTATACTAAAACTATTATTAATATTGACATTGATATTATTCGATACTTCTATTGATTTACTATATTGATTATTGATATAAATTCACTATATTAATATTGAGCATGTTATATATTAAGTATGTGATTAATATACTAATTTGATACTGATATAAAATAATTGGATAGCATGTATTCATCATTATAGGGTTTTGCTACATTGATATTAGCTAGGGGTGTTAAAAATGGGTTGTGGGTCGGGTTCAGATCAAACCCGACATTGACCCGTAATTATTTGACTCGACCCGAACCCAACCCGTTTTTATAAATGGGTCATAAATTGTAACCCAGACTTGACTCGCCACATTACTAGGTTGCCCTGACCCGACCCGATTTCAAGTTGCAACTTACCATTGCTAACAAGCGTGTGGGTGTCTTGACGCGAAGGGAAGCAAAGTTTGGCATCGGGTCGTCGGCTTCGATTGTGAGCATATGGAGATTGAGCTCGAGCGAGAGAGGCTCGGGCAGGATGTTGTGGCGAGCATGAATGCATACTCGACTATGGAATGCAGTTTGCTGAATGCGCCAGAGTGCAGAGTGCGGAGTGCCAAACCCATCTAGCACTGGAGTGCGAAGTGCCGGATGCGCCGGTTGGTGTCTCATTCCATCGATCGGATCCTTCATGAGAGTCCCAAATTGAGGCTTAGATGGGACACAGAGGTGAGCGCGAGCTCAAGCCGCGGAGCTGGGTTGAGCATGGTGCAGGGTCGCGGGTAAGACTGCGAGACGCATAACAATGCTAGTCAGTTCCGGGTCGTTGTCAAGTTTTCGAGTTGACCCAAACCTGATTTGATTTTACAAGATCGCTTTGCCACTTTTGTAGAAATTTCTCATATCACTATAGGTAATTATGATCTTATCTTTATTTTCAAATATTTTAATTTTAATTATTTTATTATTCCGGAACTAATTTTATTGCATCTTCTTCGAGTTTATGAAATTTTACACAAACACTTTTTTTATTATATTAATTATATTGGACATTTTGACTATAATATTTATTGAATTCCACCAAATAAAATAAAAAATATTGCATTTTGTATTGTTTATGCTACTTGAATAATTGATATTTTTACTGTAAGCATACTGTTAATACAATCATTGAAAATGAATGTGAGTATGTGGTTGAGTACTAGTTAGTCGATATTATTATTATTATAGTATGATGATAATAATATGTGTGAGGAGAAGTAAAAGTTAGTTTCACTGATGTTGACAGCAAACTGATTGACCCCTACAGAATGGTGGGTTGATAAGCTTTTCTTTAAATATTGTGGTTTGATATTATCTTTTAATGATTCACATGATATTGATAAGGAGTTGTTATTATGTTGAATGGCAAAGAGTGACAACTCTTATTACTATGCCAATAAGATACTTATATGGATTATTACTTAATTGAAAAATATCGCTTAAACCAAGACTTCTTACTTGTTTAGTTTGACTAATGAAATACATATTATTGATTCATTATTATTATTATTGTACGATTTTACTGCTTTCTTATTTTTTTACTAGTTTACTGTCACTTTACGGATTTATTATTAATGCATTTCTTTACGGCTACTGCCACCAATTTTACTGATGACATTGTACTAATACTACTATGGATATGAACATCGCTACAATTATATACTACTACGATTCACTATATTGATTATTGATATTGATTCACTATATGGGTATTAAGCATGTGATATATTAAACATGTGATTAAGATACTAATTTGATACTTATATAAAATAATTGAATAATATGTGTACAATATTATAGGATTTTATTGTACTGATATGATTTTGATAATCTTTATTGATAATTTGGTTTTATTAATTTATACGATTTCTTTACTAATTGATTGTATTAATACGATGACTATTTTATTGATTTGACATATGTACTAATTTTTTGGTTTCCACATCGTACTGTTTTACTAGCTTTCGTATCATACTATTTTAATGTTTACATATTCTACTGCTATTGTATGTGTGTTGTACAATGCATGCATTGATTCATGATCAAATGACTATTATTATTATTATTAATTGATTGATGACATTCATATTATTTTTTATCATGCTTTGAGTCAGTTGTAGAATTGGATCACATGCTGAGCTTTTTAGTTCATTAAATATGATTAAAAAATTTATGTTAGAGATGAGGATCAAGAGTGTGAGATTGATTAAGATTTTCTAGGTTTGTTATTATGTTTCTTTCTGTTTTGTAATTATTCATTTGTACTAAGAACTGAACATATATTTTATAATTATAATTCTTAAGTATTGTGTATACTTTATAATTTTGATATTTAATTGGTAAATGATGTTGGATAGCTCGATGTTGTGATATTAAAGGATAAAAAGAAAAATTCATCCAAATTAGATTTTGGAATATCACATGTATTAATTAATACATTCATATTCAAACCTTATTTTAAACACATAAATACCTTGTTCGAATACTATTCAAAACTTGCTCGAATTATGCTTACTTTGGTTTGAATAAGTTTCGAACATGGTTCAAACCATATCCATTTATTTTGTGCTCATTATGTGTATGGAATATATTCATTTGAACTAATTTGTTGTCTATGCAAATATCCCCTCTAATTATATATAAAGAAATGTGTTACATTGCTCAAATGGCATGCAAAATTGGGGGTGTGAAAAATAAAGTTGGATAATTTGATTCATGATATGTCACTATAAATCCACTTGATCAAGCATAAATATCGATGAATATTAGAATTGGATCTTTCAAAGTTAAAATTAGGACTATTTGAACTCTAATTTTAGTAAATTTATGATCACACCAAGTATTTTGATTAGACAAATCAAAGAACACTAATAGTAATATGATCTCATCCAAATGAGCTCAAATCAAACACTTAAAGTATAATTACAAACTTCATGAATTAATTAGAGAACCAAATGATCTCCAATCCATGCTTATAAACAAA